TACCTAAACACCTTGAATATCTTCTTCCTTCTAAAGGTTGATTGGAATGCCTTGTTCTTTTCCCGTTCTTGTCTCAACTAGTGTAGACTCATCAAATCAATTGCCAAGTCAACACCTTTCTTGCCCGAAAGGCACCAGATCCTGTCTGATCTTGGAAGCTAAGCAGGGTCAGCTTTGGTTAACACTTGGCTAGAAGACCTTCAGTGAAAACCATGTGCATTTCTGAGGAAGGAACTGGCAAAATCACATCTGAATAGTCCTTGCCTATGAAAACCCTATGAAATTCATGGGGTCATCATAAGTCAACAGGTGATTTGAAGGCATGCACACACCCACAGTGTGGGTCATTGGGGAAATGTCACAGTTGATGAACCAATTATTGAGCCACTGAGTGTACCCTATCCTGGAAATGTCACAGTTGATGTACCAGCTAAAGCTAGCAATGGCACTCTAAGCCAACAAGGCTTAGAGATATTCAAGGTGCTGAAAATATTATGGAATGAGGGGTCCAGGCCTTTAGGTACCTCCTTTAAAATTTAGATTAAAACCTTGAATGGATCCAGCAGGCATGGAAGTCATTAGCCGCCATGTGACACCTTGCAAAGTCTAAAATGGACACAAAGGAGTTATTTTGTACATACAATGGTCAGTGTCATGGGTAGGCCCTTCAGAACAATTCAGCTTGGCATGGCATTCCAAGAGATAAGGGAACAGGACCATCTGATTCCTGGGAGAAACTACTAGACTTCCATTATCCTACCTCTTTGGCCTAGCTATGAGATGCAATGGGTGAGTGGGAGAGGATTTTCCTACATAACTTCTTCATTCTCAGGGCTTCCAGAACAGGGTCTGGTGAAATGTAGCCCAACGGTTGAATGAGATCCTCTAAGGACATATTTGTGCCCCCTAGGGCTATCTCAGGTCAATTCTTTTACTTCAGAAAATTGTTGTTGTTGTTGTTATTCCCCAAATGCCCTGAGGTGGCATGGGGCATTTTTCCTTCTAGTTTTGCCCCTCTAGGCCAGGTTAGGCCCAGGAGAGGCCTCTTTTTAAAACAAGAAGTAACTTCTGCCTATTGTTAAAAAAAGGCCTTCCTTGGCAAAAAATAAGGCAACAATGGCTGTTTACACCTCCTACCTAGACAATATTCGGAGGCAATTTTAACCCCCTTAGCCTTCCATAGTTGGCCACCCCTGTCCTACAAGGAACTTTCTAAAGGAGGCTACTTCAGAATAGAATATGGATGAACAGAATGGTTCCCAGTTGGCCAAGGGCTCAGGAAAGGTTGCAGCCTTTCACTTCATTTATTCAGCTTGTATGCAGAAATCTGTTTTGGTCAGGCCTCGTCTGGAATCCTGTGTCCAGTTCTGGGCACCACAATTCTGCTTTTGAAAAGTGCTAAGCTGGTCCAAAGAGCTGCAGCCAGGCTGTTAACCAGAGCTGGTTACAGGGAGCATACAACTCCCTTGTTGCAATAGCTCTATTGGCTGCCAGTCCATTTCCGGGCACAATTCAAAGTGCTGGTTTTGACCTATGGGACTTTATAGGCCGCCTCTCTGTCCCACTACCTTCTCAGGTGTGTCTGGTGGGAACAAGAGAAAGGGCCTTCTCAGTGGCTGCTTCCAAATTTGGTACTCCCTCCCTTGGGAGGCCAGGATGGTGCCATCCCTGTTGTCCTTCTGGCGGTAGGTAAAGACATTTTTAGGCTGCCAGGCCTTCGCTTGACATGGATGCTATTTTTATTTCAAAGAGTTTTAAACTTTAAATTTTAATAATGTAATGTTTTTAATCATTTGAATTGTTTAATTGTTTTTTAAACTTTGTATTTTTAATGTTTTCTACTGTTTTAACTTGGACTGTTTTAGATTTGTTAGCTGCCTTGAGTCCCTGTGGTGGGAGGAAGGCGGGATATAAATAAACATAAACATAATAATAATAATAATTCAAAAAGGATATTGACCAGCTGGAGTGTGTCCAGGCGAGCATGACTAAAATGGTGAAGGGACTTGAAATTATGCCTGATGAAGAGAGACTTAGGAAGCTGGATATGTTTAGCCTGGAGAAGAGATAGTTAAGAAGTAATATGATAACCCTGTTTAAGTATTGGAAAGGGTGTCATATAGCGGAGGGAGCAAGCTTGTGTTCTGCTGCTCCAGAGAATAGGACTAGGAACAATGAATGCAAGCTACAGGAAAAGAGATTCCACCTCAACATTAGGAGAAACTTCCTGTTAGTAAGAGCAGTATGACAGTGGAACACACTCCTTCAGAGGTTGATGGAGTCTCCTTCTTTGGAGGTCTTTAAGCAGAGGCTGGATGCCACACTGTCAGGGGTGCTTTGATTTTGTGTTGCTGCATGGCAGGGGATCCAACTGGACGGCCGTGTGGTCTCTTCCAACTCTAGGATTTTATGATTCTATGAAATATCATATGAAGAACAAGCTTGGACACAGAAGAAGGGGGAATGAAGATAGGAGGAACGAACAGCAATAATTTAAGATACGCAGATGACACCATACTACTAGCAGAAAACATCAGACTTTGAACAACTACAAAGAAAGATCAAGAAAGAAAATTCAAAGGCAGGATTACTGCTGAACATAAAGAAAACAAAAATAATGACCATGGAGTATCTACACAAATTCAACCTAACAATGAGGAAACTGAAATAGCAAAAGAGATCCCATACCTTGGATCAAACATTGATCAGAATGGGGATTGCAGTCAAGAAATCAGAAGACGACTAGGAATGGGGAGGGCCACTATGAAAGAACTAGAAAAGATCCTAAAGAGTAAAGATATACAACTGTGCATGAAAGTTAGAATTGTACAAGCCACTGTATTCCCCATCACCATGTACAAGTTTGAGAGCTGGACAGCGAGGAAAGCGGACAAGAAGAAAATAAATTCATTTGAGGTGCGTTGCTGGAGAAGAGTGCTGAGGATACCGTGGACAGCCAAAAAAGGGAAAAAAAATGGGGCCCTGGAAGCCAAGATGATTACGTTGAAACTGTCATACTTTGGCCACATCATGAGAATGCACAACTTGTTGGAAAAGACAATAATGCTGTGATAGGCAAAGGGATGTAGAAAGAGAGGAAGACTGCATGCTAGATGGTTGGACCCTATTAAGGAGGCCACGGGTATGAATTTGCAGGACCTAAGCAGAATAATGGAGGACAAGGAGTCTTGGAGTGTCTTATTCTCAGGGTTACCATGAGTTGGGATTAACTTGAGTGTGGTTAACAACAACAAACTACTGCACACAAAGGTTTCCTTTGTCTAAGCTGTATGAGCATCTTATATAGATCACTTGCTTGCAACCATGCAGGTGGCTTGTCCCAAGGTGGGAAGGAGCACAGACACAACTGGGAGACATGCTGTCCTTCAGGGCATTCCCCCCGGCTTTGGGGGTCCAATATAATAGTGAAGCCAACTATCTTTCCTTGCTATAATACACTTGCTACACCTATTGATCACCCATTGATCATCCACAGCTTTGTATTAATGCAAAATATGCACTATTATATTTTCAATTAGTGCAAAATATGGCAGCCAGATTAATTACTGGGACATCGA